AATAGTTTACCACCGGCGTTTTTTCCGGACCGATACGACCTGGGGACCTTCAAGAAAAGAGCTTACTCCTTTCTAAAGGGCCGGCAACGTACCTGCAATTCCCCTGTATCATGGGCGGGCATTCCTCCGGTTTCATGGGCGGCGGTAGTCATTTAACATCAGGTGAGCCGTATGCTCGTTTTCCCCTTCTTCTATCAAAATAAAAATTTAGCTATCGATAAGTTAATTAAACCCATTCGGGTTTATCTGCCGAACAGGTTTTTATTTTTTGTTTAGATTTTATAATAAAATATTACAAAAAGTAGTAAATTTTTCTATTGTAAGTTTAATAATAATAATAAATAAAAATAGTTTATTCAGTAAATGATCATACATAAATTATAGCCGGGGATGGGGTCTCCTTTTAAGTACAAAAACTTTTGTTAAGAGACTCCACTCTTCCATAACACTTACGTTACTATTCGCATGATCTTTACACAGTAATTAACTAAATAATTAAAATAAAAAACAAATAATATTCACGCCAAAGATATAAATACGCGCGCGCGCGTGTGTGTGAGTGATTTGATGTGTGTGAATGAGTGAGTGAGTGAGTGCGCGCAAGCGTGCGCGCGCGTATGTGTCTGTTATAAATAAATTACATTATTTCATATTGCTCAAAAGAGCCTCAGTACCATCATAGCTCTTCTGAAATAGCCAGTTGGTTAGAACATATTTGTACGGTCCAACCGTACATTTCCGCTGGCGTTAACATTTTACGTGAAGCAATCGCTATAGTTCAACAATTATAAAAACTGAGTTAGTTACTCATAAACATAACATTAACATAATGATTTGTTTTATTCAATAACATTAACATTTAACATATTTTAATCTTATATTTTTTACTTCTCTACTAAATTGTTTTTATATAAATTTTTAATTATTATTAAACATACGTCCAATACCCGAACAATATTTGCAATTGTAGTAGTGTAGTGGTAGTTAAGGTGAAGAATTTTTATGCTTTTATTAATGGAGTTGTATAGAGTCATTGACTGTTTTACATATTGCCTCCTAGCTAGATTGGGCCAAAGCAATATATGTTTGGTGAAGTAACTTTTTTGTCTTAGTGTTTTAAATGTCCATGTAAGTTTCCTAAGTCTATTCATGATTAATTCAATGTGTCTATGCCATGACAAATGTTGGTCAACTATGACTTTTAAATACTTGGTCTCAGAGACCTTAGTAATGTGTTCGCGCCCGATAGTAGATCGTCTTATCTCGAGCGGGGTGAAGCGACGATTAGCGAGGTGCGGGAGGGGGAGGCTAGCTGCATCCTGCGCGCAGCGCAGTCGTGGCTGTTTGCATCGAGCCGAGAAGAAGGAAAGACGGCGGCGAAGCCGAGCGGTCCGCCGCGAGGCTGCTAGCCTCGTCGCGCGGCGCCCGCGCCGATGCGCGACGTTCCCGGGCAGGACGTTTCTTGTTGATAGCGGTCGAGAGAGTAACATAATTGCTCGTCGAAAGTACGGTCTTAAGTTATCTTATATTAGTGTGTGAATTGATAACTAGGTTTAATTCTGTGGTATATTGTGCGAAGCCCGGGTCGCTTACATATTGAAAGTCTCCTTGTGTTGTCTTAGACTTATGTTAATGGAGCGCGCCATTTTGAATTTATTATTGAATATTAGAATATAACTTAGACCGCCTCGAATTTAGTGTCTATTTTGATCGCGTTACATGACAAAGGACGGCTAGGGATTTGTAATAATTAAGGGACCTTTTATGCAGTTAATTGAATCGACGCGGTGTTAGTTTGTGCTACGTTGGCCTGTGTCATTGAACTTTGACCCACTGTCCTTGAGTTGTACCGCGTGTCCCTAATTAACGTCGATGGACTTGATTGTTTGAACTTAAAGACAATTAATTGGACAATAAATAATAAGTGATAAACGAACACAGTTTCCTAGTAGCTGAGGTGTTCTGTGGCTGCCTGCCCCTTAGATGGATCCTATATTTGAAGAGAGGCGACGCCTTTGGATCTGCTGTTCTGCAACCAGCGGGGATGTCAGGTTACATAATGAATGAACAGCTGCAACTAGTACTTAAGGGATCATAGCATTTGTGTAGTTTAATTTGGAAATTAATATTAGACTGAGTTCGAATGTAATTTGAAAAACATATATAACTAGTTTTCAAAGTATTTAAAGTAAGTAGGTTAGCGATCAGCCACTCAGCAATCCTAGCAAGGCCTTCTACAGCAGATATTACTGCAGTATCACCTGCATAGCAGATTATGTTGCCCTCGTTAATGTCCATGTTGGTTAGATTATTTTTGTACCACATTATTTTTGTACCAAGGGGCCAAATCGTCCCTGAAGTTGCCCCAGGCCCTAGTACGCGCGTTGAAGACTCCTAGGACCATCAACGGACGAGGGAAGCACACGCGCACGCAATTCACCACCTCGTCCAGGTACTCCTCGTAGTCGGCGAGGGTCCTGTTGGGAGAGACATAGCAGCCCACTGCGGCCAGGGTGCCCCACTGCACTCCAACAAAGCCCTGCCTCCTTTGCAGGAGGACGCAGGGTGGAACACCATCACCACTACCCAGTAGATGGCTACGGAGCCCGATTCGTCACCGAACCAGCGAGGATGGCTGGCGACGGTATGGGGCTCCGCTACTACCGCAAGGGCAATCCGCCACTGTACAATGGTCTGCAGATGTTGCGTATTGCGGCAGTAATTCGGGTTACCCTGGAGAACTTTGAGGGGCGTGAATTTTAAGTTTCAGCAACTTCCATTACCGAGTTGGAACTCCCTCCCGCAACAGGTGCTGCTGCAACCGTCCCGTTGGAGGGGCTGGGAAAGGGCTTGCTCTTTCTAACTCTCCTTTTTGCAGGTTGAGCGCATTTTTTCTCCAACCTGTGGTTGGAGGGGCGCCCGAGGTCAGGGCAAACGGGACATTTCAGTGCTGACGCAGTACACTGGTTTACTCCATGACCTGGTTCGCCGCAAGCACAGCAGCGGGTGCGCCTGTCTGCCTCGTTAGGGCACTTACTGCCCTGCCTGGGATCCAGCAGCTCCACTCGAGTGGAATCCCAGCCTTGCTTATGCGTCCTTCAGTCATTATTTTTCGAACCGCTGCTAATGGTCACCGCACACAGCACGTCCCCTTGCTGGTGGGAGTTCGGCAAACGTCTCCAACTTTGATATTGTCTACCGAACAACCACGCAACTCGGCGATCGCGGCCGCTGTTTAATTAGAGCTGACAGCGTCGTCAAGGTCCCTCATTCGGACGTCACGCATTTTAATTGGGCGACTAATTCGTACCTTCAGATCTGAGAGGACCTCGCGCAATTTTGCAGCCAGCTTAGCCTTTGAGTTACAGTCAAGGTCCGTAATCTCGAGTAGTAAACCCCCTGTTACAGCTCGCTTTTGGCAAACGGAGTCGATTCCCAACGGCCATCGGATCTTGGCTTGGCTTCCCCCATTACATTGGCATATGTAAGTGCCGAGTCCTCAGGCAGCGTCACCGCCACTGCCGCTGATGCTGGGGTACGCATTGCATTTCTTCGTCTCTTTTTACTTCTTATTGGAAGAGGGAAAGAATCCGCCATTGTTTTAGGCTGTTTTTTCAGTGGCCTATTTGTCACGTCCGCCCATGAGCTTAACATCAGCGGCGGTGAGTTGCGCGGCCGCGGCGGGGTAGCCATTGGAGACAGATTGACCACCGGCGGATGAGAAGACTCCTTTTTCTTCCTTAATCGTCGTTTTTTATTCTTTCGCGGTTGTGGATAATTTTAACTTAATGTATCTAATACTACAAGCGTGTTGGATGCTACCATCCGTTAGCTTGTAAGCAATATCTATATATATATGTAAATAAATAAATAAAAGACACAGCTATCGACCATAGTTTTGCGCGCCATAATTAATGCCTGGTACATTGCGAGTGATTATTAGCGCCATCCAGTAGTGGAGTAGCAGAACTAGGAGAGCTTTCTAGAAAATTTCTTGCTAGAACTTTCGACATTCTACCTGAATATTCTAGATGTTTTCAGTTCGTACGCCGTTTCCGTGTAAATGTTATTGTGTTGATGAGAAAAGGCCCTATATAAAGGCGTTTAGAACCCCGACCGAGTCAGTATTGAATTGGCGATTCAAGGGAATACTTCAAAGCGATATAACTGCGAACTAAAGTGATCAGTGTGATTAATTAGTATGTTTTAAGTTGAATTGGTGTTCGGGAATTAAAGTGTCAATTTTGGTAATTCAATCGGCAGTTTTTATCGTCACGAACCCTAAGCTCGTAACAATAGTCTCACGTCATGATAGTTTGCACTGTGTGGCAATGTCGCTTTTTAATGTTTAAGTCTTCAAGTTCGTTGAGTCACTGACTAGTGATACAACTCTACAGAGAGTTCAAATTACATGAAAATTAAAACGCAATTTTAAATGTAAGTGCTGGACCAATTTCGTTTATATTTTGTATATCGTCAGGAAAACGATAACGAGTATGGAGTGGTGATTCCATTTATTGCATATTATATGTGGTACCCATACGGTATTATAGAGCATGTTTAAGAGCAGCCTTAGTTTTTCGATTCTGTTCACAGAATCGAAAAACCTCCTTTTTAAAGTCACCTTCAGGTGACTTTAAAAAGGAGGAGATTTTCCATTTTTATATGTATTAAATTTGTATTATTTTTTACCTTTTATGGCAGAATTTAGAATTATGGAAAAATAAATAATAATATATAATTCGAGTTGTTATCTTGAGTTTGCTATATTTCTTAGTGTAATGAGTGAGGAAATCTGTTTGTGTGAGTATGTGTTAAAAGGATGGTTGTGGTAATTGAATATTTGAAAAATATATAGGCTGAAATTATGAGAAATGATTTGTTTAATTTTCTTTTTTGTTTAATCTTTAATATAACGGATTTTTGTAAAGTGGTGTCGGAGTGTATTAATTATGGGTGTGAAATGAAATAAAGTGTAGTGCAGTGAGTGCGGTACTGACGTCGGGCGGCAGTGGCGGCGTGCCGGCGCGGCCCATGATCGGCACGAACATGTCGAGCGACGCCAGCGCCAGGTAGCACGTCTGCGCCGCCGGCAGCGCGCCACCCAACACCCAGCACAGAGCGCGCCCGCGCGGCGCCAGACGCAGCAGCGAGGCAGCCGCGTCGGCCGCCGCGGGCATCAGCGCCCACAGCAGCGGCAGGAAGGCGGAGCGCAGGCCGGCCGCCGCGCAGCAGAGCAGCGTGCCGCCCGCCAGCACGCACAGCGCGTCGCCGTACGCGCGTGCGCGCCACCAGCCACGCAGCGCCGCGCCCCCGCCCCCGCGCCACGCCGCGCGCGCGCCCCACCACCATCCGCACACCGCTGTGACACACACCCCGCACTAAAACTTTCCGCACAATTTATACTAAACTTCATCATATTCATTACCTTGTTTCCAAACAAAACGTTAAAACCATTAAATAGATCTCTTTACTTCTATTTAAATTTTAAAAGCCGATATACAATTGTATAAGCAAAGTTTAATTAATGTGAGTATGTTATGACGAAAAGTCATAAGAAAATGTACAAATATACAATTAATAATTAATACATGTTGTTATGACAAGTGGTCAGCGACTAATACAATTATATCGTGTGAATAAACTAGACAACATGTAAATTCTGCTTTGCGTACTAGCATCATCATCATCATCATCATCATTCAAGCCCAGCCCTTAAAAGCCATTACTGAACATAGCCCCCCCTCCCCTTAAAGTTACAAAACACGGTCCCGTGCCACCTGCATCCATTGATTTTTCTTACCAGGACGTCACTACACACGAGAAACTTCCTTCCCCATCAGTTGTCGGTTACTCGAGCTATATGGCCGACCCATTGCTACTTCAGCTTACTGATCCGCTGAGCTATATCCATTACTCTGATTCTACTACGAATATCCTGGTTTTTAAATCTATCACGGAAAGAAATCCCCAGCATAGTCCTCTCCATAGCTCGCTGAGTAACTTTTAACTTTTAACTTTTGAGAACGTTTGACCACGCTCTCACAGAATACAAACTTAAAATAGCAGCTTAAAGCTACTGTATTTCGTATGGTAAAGGTAGCAATTGGGAGACAATCTGAATTGAAAATGAAGCATTCCATCTTAATCCTAATAAAACTAGTGGACCAGATCGTATACCAGCTATAGTTCTAAAGGCTTGTGCACCTGAGTTGCCTCCTGTGCTAACACGCTTGTTCCGCCTCTCAGTTAGGACTTGAATAGTGCCAAAGTCCTGGAAACTGGCCAACGTGCAGCCTATGATGGTGCTAATGGTCTCTTCAGGTCGTCGTCGATGCCTGCTCATCTGATCGTATGGCGACTAACGCCAGTGTTTCTCAGGGGTCCGTTCTCTCCACAACTCTCTTCCTGCGGCATGTTAATGATCTGCTTATGCCCAGAATCTATGGGTATACAGATGATAGCACATTTGTGGAGAGATACCAATCAAGTCCTTGGGCCAGTCGGTATCAAATCCAGTCCAAAAGAAGTTATGAAAAAGCGGGCGAATCTCACACTGTAGGCAGTTTTCGAATGGAGCGATGCCAATCTAGTGAAATTCAACGCCTCCAAAACACAAGCGTGTCTCTTCACTGCAAAAAGGAGCCAGCTCATCTTGGCTCCTTCTTCCCTAACTGAAATACACCAACCGCCTTCAGTTGTTGGCGATTGAGCTATCTTCAAATCTGAATTTCGGGCGGTTCATTGAGTCCAAGGCCAAAGCAGCTGCAAGGAAGCTAGGAATCCTTGCTAAGATGCGGCGATACTTCATGCCGTGACAGGTGCTTTCTTTATATAAAGCGCAAGTCCTGTCGTGCATGGAGTATTGCTATCATATATGGGCTGGTGCTGAAAATGCCACCTAGCAGCTTTGGACTCAATGGAAAGGCGTTCTAAGAGGCTTACCAGTTACCCGAATTCGGTTAAAACCAATCTTACCAGCCTTGAACACAGGCGCAAAGTAGCCAGCCTTTCGGTTTTCTATAGGATGCATTTCGGAGAATGTGCGCAGGATATTTGTATGATTTAATTCCTCCCTCTCCATCCACCATCAGACAACCAGACGTTCGACCAGTCTCCATCCTTTCGTTGTTGTCTATACCACGCATTCGAACCAAACGGTTTGCTACATCATTTATCATGCGCACAGCAAAGGAATGGAATAACTTGCCAGCATCTGTGTATTCATCCAATTACAATGTGCGTCTTGAAGGCAAGAGTGAATAGGCTTTTGTTAAGTCAGTGCGCTTCACTATTTTAGGCTACAACACCACTTACTATCAGGTGGGACTGTAGTTAGGTGCTGGCTCAGAATAATATTAAAAGATTCTCAGGGGTGACGAAATCGACATTCGAAACGAACGAAGTGCTTTCCGATGGGCTCGATTCACTGGCATTGCGAAGAGATGTTGCATCTCTTTGCATTTTCTTTCGCATATACCATGGAGAGTGCTCTGAGGAATTGTTCGGATTAATCCCAGCAGCTAAATATCGTGAACGCACTTCGCGGCAAACGTCCCGATACCATCCACACCATCTGGATGCTTGGCGGTCCACCACTGTACGTTTCAAGAGGAGTTTTCTTCCGAGTACAACCTCTCTGTGGAATAGTTTACCACCAGCGATTTTTCCGGACCGATACGACCAGGGGACCTTCAAGTAAAGAGCGTACTCCTTTCTAAAGGGCCGGCAACGCACCTGCAATTCCCCTGGTGTTGCGGTTGATCATGGGCGGCGGTAGTCACTTAACATAAGGTGAACCGCATGCTCGTTTGCCCCTTCTTCTATAAAAAAAATCTACATTTTGATTTATAGTCGAGGATAGATATAGATGTCTATGGGCCACAGCATCCACTTACCATCACGTGGACTGTGTGTTCGTTTGTCAGCCTTATTTTATAAAAAGTACGGTTGCCCCTACAGGCTATCCCTGCAACTTCCCGCTAATTTCAAATGCAAAGCGTTTTAAATTTCGAGCTCAAAAACGTCGTAGCAGGTTCAGGATCAACCGATTTTGATGCAGTTTGAGGAAATCGAGGCAGTTTTTTCAGATTAACAAAAAAAAACTTATTACAAAAAAAATTGATTTGATGGAATTTTTCAAATAATTTTGTGTAAAATTTTTTTTCCTAGATTTGTTTCGACAACGATATCTCACGAATCAACCGATTCACAGCAATCGACGTCATTTTTGAGTAGAAGGGCTGATTAGATTATAGAATTGATCAAAATAAGAGTGTCGTAATTTCAAAAGAACCCAGTTTTTGAAAATTAAAAAACTCGAATTTATGAGGTTTTCTCAGAATTTAACATGATGATTCGGTCTAAATTCATAGAATATCTAAGTTCAGCAAGGCCCTTTCAGATGCCGCGAACCGCTTTTCGATCGGACACTCCGTTACAAAAATACGGACATCTTCAAAAAATAGCCAGTATAGATTCGTAGGACCTCGAAGCGTCGAGACCTGACGAGAACTCGATTTTCAAAACCGGGGTGAAAACAATAACTTTCCAACTTTTAAAAAAAATTGACTTTCATAGCGGTAAGTTAAAAAAGAAGTTTATGAATCATCCCAAAGAAGAAGCAACATATCTTTTTTAGCAGTATAATCACATAAGTAGTTTATTAATCTCGTTGTTCTCGTTTATCGAATAGACTACATATGTGTTCACATCATACACATCTCAGACTCTCTGACTAAAATGTGGTGACAGAACGTAAATGCATTTAAAAAAATACCTTAATATTGTAATAATTTAAACAAAGAATTGATTGCGTTTTCGTCGGTTGTATTATGTAAGTAATGGCGTGTAATGGCAGTGCAATAATTAGGTTAAATTTGTTGGAGATTAAATTGGAGAACCCTTTTCCAGGTGAATTAGCAGGGAATTTCTACATAATATAATTGCTTTTCATTTTTGCACTCATATAGTATAATTAAAATATTTAGTAAAAATAAATAACGAAGTATAATTGCGTCGACCAAAAGTCATTAAAAATTGCAACGATAGTTGAAAAGTGACGTGAACCGCGTTTCTAAATTTTATGCCACAGTTTATCAACTTTATTTAAAATCGTATACTATCATCTTCGATCAATAATTGATCGAAGGCATTTCTTATCAGCCACTTTTAATAGATGCATGTACAAAAATGTTTTGAATTTATTACACAGATAAGGGTCAATGAATGTAAAAAACCTATGCATGAAAGAATCGGTTATTCTTATGTTGATTTAACACATTTTATCTTTGCGCCTTTTAACTGTGATTTCTCTTCTGTAAGGTAACATTAAGTGTTGTTTTTGTAACGTACTCATAACAAATTACTATATAGAATTTATTTATGAGATGGGAAGTTAGTATGATAAGACGGATTGTTGCGACTTTTAATACAGTTTTGTGCGCGTTCCAGTGGTAGTAGTGTGTGTGTGTGCGCGTGTGCGTGTGTGTGTGTGTGTGTGTGTGTGTGTGTTGTTACCTGGCAACGCGTAGAGCGGCAATAGCAGCTGCGGGCGCGCGTAGAACAGCAAGCGAGCGCCCGCCGCGTGCAGCAGCGTGCCCGCCGCCGCCGCCGCGCATACACCCGCCGCCGCGCCCGCCACCGCGGCGCCCGCCCCGCGCCGTACCGCTCGCCACCACGCACCGCGACTCATGTACACTGCGCAGTACAAAGACGTAGTTACGTGCCGCGACTCATGTGCTCTGCGCAGTATAAGGACATAGTAACGTGCCGCGCCGCACGGCTCGCCACCACGTACCGCGACTCATGTACACTGCGCAGTACAAAGACGTAGTTACGTGCCGCGACTCATGTGCTTTGCGCAGTACTAGGACGTAGTTACGTACCGCGACTAATGTGCACTGTGCAGTACAAGGACATAGTTACGTGCCACGCCGCACCGCTCGCAACCACGCACCGCGACTCATGTACACTGCGCAGTACAAGGACGTAGTTACGTGCCGCGACTCATGTGATTTGCGCAGTACTAGGACGTAGTTACGTGCCGCGACTCATGTGTACTGTGCAGTACAAGGACATAGTTACGTGCCGCGCCGCACCGCGCGCCACTACGCACCGCGACTCATGTACACTGCGCAGTACAAGAACGTAGTTATGTGCCGCGACTCATGTGCTCTGCGCAGTACTAGGACGTAGTTACGTGCCGCGACTCATATGCACTGTGCAGTACAAGGACATAGTTACGTGCCGCGCCGCAACGCTCGCCACCACGCACCGCGACTCATGTACACAGCGCAGTACAAGGACGTAGTTACGTGCTGCGACTCATGTGCTCTGCGCAGTACTAGGACGTAGTTACGTGCCGCGACTCCTGTGCACTGTGAAGTACAAGGACGTAGTTACGTGCCGCGACTCATGTGCTCTGCGCAGTACTAGTAGGTAGTTACGTGCCGCGACTCATGTGCACTGTGCAAGTACAAGGACATAGTAACGTGCCGCGCCGCACCGCTCGCCACCATGCACCGCGACTCATGTACACTGCGCAGTACAAGGACGTAGTTACGTGCCGCGACTCATGTGCTCTGCGCAGTACTAGGACGTAGTTACTTGCCGCGACTCATGTGCACTGTGCAGTACAAGGACATAGTTACGTGCCGCGCCGCACCGCTCGCCACCACGCACCGCGACTCATGTAAACTGCGCAGTACAAGAACGTAATTACGTGCCGCGACTCATGTACACTGCGCAGTACAAGGACGTAATTACGTGCGGCGACTCATGTGCACTGTGCAGTACAAGGACATAGTTACGTGCCGCGCCGCACCGCTCGCCATCACGCACCGCGACTCATGTACACTGCGTAGTACAAGAACGTAATTACGTGCCGCGACTCCTGTACACTGAGCAGTACAAGGACGTAGTCACGTGCCGCGACTCCTGTACACTGCGCAGTACAAGGACATAGTAACGTGCCGCGATTCATGGGCACGTAACTCGACTCGCGCCGCATTTCTGGAGTCTTCCGCCCAACATAAATATATTATGAGTATCAAGAAAAGGGTTTAATGACTTCAAAGTACTTCCTGTTTATATTGTTTTATATTCTTTGATTCATATATATTTTATATCTTCTTAGTATTCTATTTTCTGAGCAATTCTTACGCATATCAATAAAGCATTTTCATATTCTTTATTTCATTAGGTTTTTTCTCACTATAAATAAATCTTAAACAATAACATTAACATTTAAGACCTCTTGTAGTGAATCTAAATTTTCAAAGGACAATGGCGAACAGCCAAACAAATTTTATGTGACTTTTTTGCGTCTACAAATAAAAATATGTAAAAATATAGGGCTTAAAATTCTGAACATTTTTTTCTTAGTTCATGCTACTGCAGAAAGTCAGGAATTAAGGCAAATCGTTACAACAACAATTAGTCAATATAATTTTCATATACGATTATATAAGGTAATTACCAGCATAGAGGGAATCATTAAAGAACGCATTAGTATATATAGAAGAGTTTCCTGAATAAAATACACGTCGAACTCGGCTGTATGGGCAAGACATTTGCCTGTCTTAACTGACGAATCGTAACAACTACAACAACTAGTCAATTAAGCGTAGACAGAGAAACTAATGATTAGCGTGACCTCGAGTGAGAAAGGACGATAACGTAGTTTTAGGTTATACAATAATCTTTATGACTTTTAAACATATTTAGATAAAATTTTTAATTGTTCTAAGAACTGAGCTGAACAAGATTCACCAACTTTAAGCTCAAAAAACACTTTCTCACTTAAACCAACTTGTAAACTCTGTAGAGGGTGCGACGTTTGTTGTTATGTGTATAATAACGGGCATATAGATAAATAATGTTCAACACTTATTACACTAACACATTTATTGCACAGAAATACAAGTCACACCAATAATTACATAGTCAGAAGGAGAATGCAACACTTACAAGAAGAAACAAGCTTATAGATATAAAGAAAGGCGGAGAGAAGCTTAAGAGAAAATAGATAACAGGATTTAGTACACACGTAAATATTTTAATAGCAAGCGTCCGTAAGCTAAAGCGACAACCTCTCTCCGTCGTAGTACGTAGCCGACTGATCAAGGTTCAAGGAGGCGTTGCGCTCCCGCCACCCGCTTGTAGCCGTTGCAGTGACTCGGTCCATTTTTCTCGTGTACGACACATTATGGACGATTTGAGCTGTCTATGGAATCGTTCCACCAGTCGGTCGGTAAACCGTCGTGCGTTTGTGCTGCAATCCGGCTATTTTGGCGAGTTGTTGGAAAAGGGTTGACTCGAATTGCTTACCGCGGCCAGTTATAATGTCTGTGGGGCAGCCAAATCGAGCTATCCAACAAGATAACAAAGCCTTCGCAACCGTTTCTGCTGTTATATCAGCGATCGGAACAGCTTCGGGCCACCTTGTGAAGCGGTCAACACACGTCAGACAATAACGGTAGCCATCCGACAATGGCAATGGCCCTACCAGATCGATGTGAATTTGTTGAAACCTTGCACGCGGTATTTTAAACGTGCCTATAAGTGAACTAACATGCCGATATATTTTCGAACGTTGGCATGGTAAACACGCTTGTGACCATTCCCGACAGTCTTTTATAACTTTCGGCCACACGAAACGTTCTGCCACTAACTTGGCGGTTGGGTTAACGCCTGGATGACTGAGCGAATGTAAAGTATTAAAAACTTGTTTTCGGAAAAAATTGGTTACAAATGGCCGGGAAGTCGGTGTACTGACGTCGCAGTACAATGGGGTTCGACTCCCGGATATACCTAGTAAGTTTTTCTAGGCGTAGTGAAGAGCCTTCTTTTATGAGCTTTTCAAGCTCAGGGTCAGAAGCTTGGCTTTTAGCTAATGCTTCTAAGTCAATAGGCGCCTCCAATGCCTCTACACGCGAAAGTGTATTGGCAACAACGTTGTCCTTACCGGAAATATGCCTGATATCAGTAGTAAACTGGGCTATATAATCTAAGTGCCTATACTGCCTAGGCGAACAGTTGGATTTCCTTGCATGAAATGCGAAACTGACTGGCTTGTGATCAGTATATACTGTGAAATGTCTTGCTTCTAACATGTAGCGAAAATATTTAATAGCCTCATAAATTGCTAGGAGCTCCCTGTCGTAAGGGGAATATTTTGTCTGAGAAGTGTTCAGCTTTCGGGAGAAAAATGCTAGCGGCTGCCATACGTATTCTTTTAACTGCTGTAGGACAGCTCCAATTGCTTTATCCGAAGCATCAGTGACTAAAGCCAATTTTGCTTGGCAATCTGGATGTGCTAATAACGCTGCCTCAGAAAGGCTTTCTTTGCATGTTTTAAATGCATTTAAAGACTCACCAGATAATGTAATAGGCTGGTTATTCTTTATTACGCCTGTCAACAAGGCGTTAAGCGGTGCTTGTATTTCTGCAGCACGTGGTAAAAATCGCCTATAAAAATTGACCATGCCTAGAAATCGTCGAAGTTGACGAACATTGGTGGGCAATGGGAAGTTTTTTTATGGCTTCAACTTTAGTGTCTAGTGGTTTGGTGCCTGATGCCGAGATGTGATATCCCAAAAAGGTTACTTCTCGAGCACCAAAAACACACTTAGACGTATTAATTAGCATACCATATTCTTTTAGTTTTCGAAAAATTGCACGCAAATGCTGTTCATGTTGTGCCTCCTCCTTTGAAAAAATTAAAAAATCATCTAAATAACAATAGCAGAAGTCGAGTCCCCTTGTCATTTCATCCACAAACCTCTGGAACGTTTGTGCAGCATTCTGTAAACCGTAACTCATGAATGGGAACTCAGAGTCCAAAAGGCGTTGTTATTGCAGTTTTTGGTACATCTTCAGGACTAACTGGTATTTAAAAAAATAAAAATATAAATTTCTTCGCAACCTTCCGCCAAACAAATACAATGATGTGTCTTACCTGGATTGAAGAGCACCTCCCGCCCTCCCTCAATTGCATGTACTAACTCCGTCACCACTAATCCCAGCACTACTACTCCCAACACCACTATTCCAGGCAAGACACACCATCGACGATAGTACGACACGTGTTTCGCCTCTACACGAGGCATCTTCAGGTAATGTAGACTCTACGGCGGCTGACCGCTAAGTGGTTGTTTGGCGGAAGGTTGCGAAGAAATTTATATTTTTATTTTTTATTATAATGGATTTCCGCAAAGTAACGCCTGATTCTATCAATTAACTGGTATTTGGTCGTAAGCCTTGACTAAGTCTAATGTACTAATAATTTTGCAACCAGATATACTATGTGCGAAGTCCTGAATGTTAGCGTTAAGCATTCTGTAGTCCCCGCAAGGACGCCAACCATTATTTTTTTTGAAACTAAATGAAGTGGCGAAGACCAAGAACTTTCAGAAGGCCTAGCTATCCCATTATCTAGCATGGATTGGAACTCTTGTTGGGCTATTTTCAGTTTATCTGGAGCGAGGCGACGAGGTGAATAAGAAACTGGAGGTCCTGGTGTCGTACGTATATGGTGAACTGTGTTATGCTGTATAGTGCGGTGTATACCAGCTGGTTGGGTAATTTCTGAAAATTCTGTTATAATTTGGTGGTATTTTGTGTTACCAGTTCAAACCTTAATTGATGAAATATTGGTTGATTTTACTTGTGAGGCAGTGGCTACTATAGATG